AACTTTTTAAAACATAGGTTTAAACGTTCTATGTACAGAATTAGTCGATAACTATTTATGCTTAAATAGGAGAGTTATAATATTTCACATATATATTCGTATTGATTTTATGACTTTCATATGACAAAAGCACTTTTGACGTGTTACCACATGTGCCTTCATTATACTAAAACGCGGTCCTGTCTGTTTACTGCTAAAAGGAGTCAATTTGATCTGACTCCCACTTTTCGGGGTATATATGTCTCTCTTACCGACAGCCTAGATCTCCTTGGCATAACATTGTGCGCAACCCTTAACTTTGGCGCTTATATTGATTGTAAAGCACAAATGGCAGCTATAAAACAGGGTATCCTTAATAGGGTTAAGCGATATTTCACGCCTGGACAGTTCTTATCTTTATACAAAGCACAACTACGATCTTGTATGGAATAAACTAAGCGCTTTTCATTATCTTTTATTATGCGCACTGCCTAGGAATGGAATTTCCTGCCTGCGTCTGTATTTCCGAATTCATACAACCCGGGTATCTTGAAGGTGCGACTGAATAGGCATCTTCTGGGCAAACTCGTTCCATCGTAGATCCTATCTTTGCTCCAGAGCTAGGTAGTGGTCAAAAGCAAGTCCATTTAATTTAAAAAAAACCAAGGTCACCAATAATGCTTATACGCCAGCTATATTCGTTGATGTCTTATGTACTGGAGTAATTGTTAGCCATTGTTAAAGTATACGTTTTGAAAATGAAACTATTTTTTCGGATCTAAATTGCGTATATTAGTTTTCTTGTATTTATTTTGGTCACCCGTGAGCATGGGACCCGTAAAAGACCCGTTTTGTTTCCAAGTTTCATTTCCTATGCGTAACAATCACTAAAATCTAAGAACTCGATAAGTATACGTTTTGTTTAGATGCTCGGCAGGATACGTAGCTGCGTGGAATAAGCAAACCAGAGGTTTTAATTATATTGTATGGGTGACGCACCTTCCCCGTAGCGTCCACCTTTCGTTCACTATTTTCACTGTGATCTATAAAATATACTGTAAAGCGTACAACTTAAAGTCCGTTGTTGAATGAAATGCACTGCTACTCCATCGCTGAGCCGTTAAATGGGCCATAATCTTAACAACCATTATTGAAATAGCTCGCTGGCAGAATTTCAAAGGATACATATTCGCTGCACAAATCAATTTAGCTTAGTTCAGCGAATATGAAATAAGTATAGATAAAATTTATATGAAATAAAAAATACACACACACTCATAGCCCCACACTAGGCACACCCTGTATCGCGGGTGCCATGGACACCTACAGGGTAGGCAACCACAAATTACACCCAAACTCACGAGAGAAATAAATGTAGTCCATACAAATATTGTCTCCCGGGCCGGGAAACAAACTGTGATTTTGCAGTGGATTATATACGAGGTTATTATTGAAATGCATGTAAAACAAGGATGTATGGTTATGTCAAACAAGTGTGTAAGATACTGAGAGGCATTTCCTGCAAAATTTCGTGTACTCCGTTATTAGAAAAAGTAACCTACATTAATATAGATTTATATCATCTCAAGGTCACTCGGCAATGTCGCGGCATTCATATAACAAATGGAAGACCCAAAGCAACATTTTACTGACAACTTCTCTTTTGTAGTTTTCAAAAACAAATCCCGCTACGTACCAGCAAGCACCGTAATATCTATGTCTGTATTTTTAAAGCTTTATTAATGTCGTTACTTATCTGAAATTACACTCGCTGTATGTGACTTTTATGGAGAGTCTAACAATATGAACTTGATGCATTAAGTCTGAATAAATATGTTAATTTAAAAGACAATGTGAAATTTTTCTTCTTTCCGCAATCTCGCGCAAAAATATTGCCTAATTTAATACCCGTGGGAATGCTGCTCAATCTATTTGGAGAATATTCACCAAGGTGAAGTGACGGGCTCATGGGACTTGTTAACTCATGTCTCAAGGTGACGGGCTCATTGACAATGCCCCTCAGATCTTTGCGATTTAAAGCTCTGTGTGGCACTGCCACTGTTATGGACAAGCGTATAACTTACAAACAGGCGCACGACTTATTCGTCCCATTCCTTGATATTATATAAATAAAAATTCAAATTAATGGGCACATAGCATTTAACATATTTTATTGCGTAAACTCTGTTTAAAACGCTATAGTTTGCATTAAAACATATTTAGTACATTTTGTATTTAAAAAAAAAATGTACAATTGGTAGTGTAATGTGGGGAAACTAAAATTTGATGCAATTTATAGTAATTTGATATCTAGTATCTAAAGGCTAATATAGTAAATAGGTAGCGATCTTCAAAATATTTATTGGATAACGTATATGTCCCCGTACTACGAGTTCATTTCACTATCGAGTTCTTAGGTTATTAGGTTCATTTCACTAGTTTAAAAAAAATAATCGTCCAAAATTGGCGTGAAAGGTTGGAGTACAATATATAACGTATATTCGTCAGCTCCGTTCGTCAACTGTCCATTATCGACACATCTGTTGAGGATGTGACGGCGGATTTACGATTGTACTGACAATTGTGTGACAGCTTACTCATAAAACCATGTTAGGAGTCTGGGAGCAATTGTTGGGGATTATATATTATTCAGCTCATCCTCTCATATCCAGACAGAATTCCGAACTCACAAAAACTGTACGAGTATTAAAATACTCTCCAGAAGACTTGGAGTGCTTGTGACTTTGGATGTTTAATTCAATATTTAAATATGCCATAAACGTAACAAAAACAATTTGAAGTGGCTATATCCTTCTCATCGTGCGTAAGTGTACTTGATTCTATTTTTTAAGTACGTTGAAAAAATGGACTTCTAAGTAAGTATAGAACCAATGTACGATAACGTAGTATCTACTTAAAAATTAAATTTTGACCTTTATTATGTTGTCGTTAAATCTCAGACTTAACGACAACATAACTACCGTGCTTTGATATCAAAGTAACTAAAAGCACTTGTGTTATAGAAATCGGAAACAACGAAGGTACCACAACTACCCGGATCCGAGATAATACAAAAGTAAGTTCTTTGTACATTGGTCCGGTCTGGAGTCGAACCCGCCACGGCAATTGAACCCGTGGCGAGTTCGATTCCCGGCTCGGAGATGGCGACATCTTGAAAACCAGTGTGCAAGCCAGTTCACTACAGAGGTTGTCATAAATAAAAGACAATTATATCTACGTAGTTGTCTGCAACATTCCTGTACAGGAAATTCTAGTTCGTTAACTGTCAATTATCGATACATCTGTTGAGGATGTGACGGCGGATATACGATTGTACTGATAATTGTACTGACAGTTGTTGTGACACGTATTGCATTTGTTGGAAAGAGTCTTTAAACTGTTAAAAAAGTGGTGCTCGTAGCTTTTAAACATTTAGCTTTTTTCTTCCGACACGTCGTCCATACAAAGCGAACCGTAACAAACAAGTGTCATTTATTAAAAAAAGAACAATCAGCGAACATGCCACGATAGTGCCCAGTATATTTTTTTTTATTGGAAACCGTCAAAAGAGATCATTTTTCACCCGCCACTAGTAGCTAATAACCACACACTCGTAGCTAAAATTATTGTACAAAAGTCAATGAAATGAAGTGTTTTTATACCTCTAACAATTTGGAGAATTTGATAATATTTTATATGGACTTGAAGACTTGGCGTATGCCTATTTTTATAAAAATAACAAAAGAAAAATTCGCCAAAGCTTGGTTTTCAATCTTTACCTTTTCCTTTACGGAAAGAATGAAAAAAAAATACATGGCAGGTGTCACGTGCCATATGAACTTGCGAATCGATTGCACTAGGTGTATTGCCTCGCTCATTATTTCGACTCACTAGATCAATTATCGATTATACAAAACGTAGTGCTTAAATTCTCTTTGCACTAGATGCTCGCTAGGCTTCAATTTAACGGCACCTAGATGCGAAAATATTTAAAAAAATATATTTTTAGGGCTCCGTGCTTATCTGTCTGCCATAGCGTCTTTTGTTTTAGTTTTTATGCATGAAATTTGCGTTGTAATGATAATGTAATAGTAGTGAACTCAGGATGCATAAGTTATATGCAGTTGTACGAGTACATACTTGTAACGAATTTCCATACAATTCGTGCTTCATGTAAGTGCAATAAAGTAAATTTCATTTGATATGTTTTGTTAACCGTGGGAGTCCGTTTCTGTGTAGAACACACTAGGGCAGGTACATGCCACCGCTCTACCTAGTGCTACAGCAAATTAGCATCACCGTATTCCGGATTAAAGGTTAGGGTGAGCTAACGTAATCAGATGTATATGAAAGTTAATATTTTATGTTTTCTACTATATTATTTATTTACAATTGTTGTTGGACGAGGAAGGACGCAATTTATAGCGCAACTTGGGAAACAGTGGGCTGCGATGATGAGGGCCAATATTTTCTATATTTGCAGGGTCTACGCCGTAGCACTTGCTACGCGGCTAAAAAACATAATAATGATGACACAACAGCAAAATTTTATTATTTCCCAATATTAAGTTAATTAGTTTATTCTAAATTTTTAATTAAACAAATTTTAGACAAACTTTGTCAAGTTTATTTTATTTATGTACTACATAATTATATAAATCATAATATATGTTACGCAATACTTAAGTTTTTTACATTTAAGTTGTACGGAAGTTCTCAAAGTATAGGCAATAATTCTACAAAAATATACATTGAAATAGGACTAGGATAGACATCGTGACTATTACAAATTAAATACCAGTTACACATTGGATATTTACTTTTTATATATTTATTTTAATTTATTAATACATATCGTTCCGGTTTATCGAATCTTAGAAAATACTTAATAACTAAAGACTGGATATACACCTTTGGCGAACAATACATTGACTAGAGCAAACTACTTATTTCTCAAAAAGTTAAGAATTCTTTGTGAAGAATTTATAGAAATGTACTTTTGACTCTAAATATTAATAATACATTGTAACGCTTATATCTAATGAAAAATAGTCGATTATTTTAAAATGTTACCAGTGAGAACTCCTGAGATTTAGAAAATGTTTCTAAATTTATTTACATTGTCTTTTATTCAGCGTGTACTAAAAGAACCATAGCAAAAGTCAGAGAGTATATTAGATGAATTTATTGCACTGCTACCGAAATTTCAAAATAAAACAATTTCATGTTTATAACGTTTGTTCTAGTAATTAACAAGCACACAATTAAGACATTTGTTATAACCTCGATGTGTTTGACATTTGATAATTGAAAGAATAGACGGTAAACATACGGTAAATAAGGAACTGTGCTTCATTTGCTAAAAATTAGTAGCAGTGGTGAAAAATGGACCTAACGTGAGTCGACTGTAGCGCCTAGCCATTCTAGGCGTTCAGGTCGTATGAGAGCGAGGTAGGCTTCAGCGGTGTGTAGGGAGTTCACTTGCGGAAGCAGGAGATAGGGTTGAAGTAGCACTGACGGAATCGCACCTGCCTCTTGTCCGCGCGCCACTGCCTCGCCAGCCTTCCGTCTAGAACCGCCCGTACGCCCCAGCTGCGCGGCTCAGCTTGCGGCCATGACCGGCTTACACGGGCCAGTCTGCAATGATTTACGAATAATAGCACCGCACAAAGTGAAATAAATTGACGATGGTAGGTTGCAAGTAATTAATCCTTGGGCATTTCAGTCGGTACTTAATTTTTTCATGTATTATTCCCTATTTTTCTGTCTGGATTATGCTAATCAGTAATTTCCAGTTTAGACATTTATTTCCGGATTATGCTTAAATATAAAATGAATCGTGGTCGTAATATAAAAAGGATAAGCTGATCACGTACTTAATGGATACAAATTTTAACGCTATATATAAGTATAATAATAAAGTGGAGGTATAAACTACATATGTGTTCTACGTTCTACGACATGCACATTCTGGTATATACAATGCATAACAAGTATGTATTGTATATATCAGAATAGTGCTACCTTGCATGTGTTTATTTTTAATTTTTTTTTGATCGTAGAGTTAGTGTTCAAATTTGAATTCGTACTTTTATTTATACCTGGTGGCTATTAAAATCAACACTGTTATATAACTATTTTTAATGCACACATTGATAGCCTCGCTCTAGGGAGACCCTGTATCGCGGGTGCCATGGACATACATAGACAACCGCAAATTATACCCAACTCATGAGAGCAATAAATTTAGGCCATACAAATATTTCTCCCGGCTCGGGAATCGAACCTGGGACCTCTGCGTTGCAGACAAGCATGGTAACCGTTCGGCTACGGAAGCAGTTGACTTTGGGGACTATTGCAGTTTTGATCTAGAATCTGAACGGCAGGCGGCAATCTACCAATGTATGAAGATATAAGCCTGAGTTAGCTGGATTCTATAATAATAATTGTGAATCGATTACCTGTCGTCAGCATCGAGTTGCAGAAGTAGTTTTCTTAGAGCAGCAGTATTGATGGCGTCCATGGATCCGGAGTAGTCAACGTCGTTGATATCATTGGAATGTGCCTCCATGCCGTTCTGCGTCTGCTCGTCTTCCGCATCCTACCCAACAGATACGTATATTAACATTCACAATTTACTTTGAATATTTAAAACAGACTCTATCATAGAATCTTGCTTTTAATGTTCTTGATGTCAGAAAAAAAGTATTTAAATATTCCGAAATATGATGATGGTCAACTTGTAATCCTTTAATTAATTGTCACTGGTGTCGTATTGGGTTAAATACAATTTATGTTATGTAGGCTCTAACCCTTAACGTAAAATTGGATCCGATCGTCGATTTTGAAAGTGATACATGTCACAAAAAGCAATAAGTAAGAATGTAAGCAGTGATTAATTCGGATTTGTACAGGTGTTTACAATTTAAATAATTTCGACACATCTAAACAATTTAAATTGGTAGGATTCGTCCGTTTAGACCTATATCTATGGTTTCATCATCATCATCATCATCAGCCTATTGCAGTCCACTGCTGGACATAGGCCTCCCCTAATGCACGCCATTTCGCCCTGTTCTCGGCTTGACGCATCCATTTCCTGCCAGCAATCTTCCGCAGATCGTCACTCCATCTGGCTGGAGGGCGTCCCACACTACGTTTGCCAAGTCGTGGTCTCCACTCAAGAACTCGTTTACCCCAGCGGTTGTCGGTTCTTCGGCAGATATGTCCAGCCCACTGCCACTTCAGCTTGCTTATCCGAAGAGCTATGTCTATTATTTTATATAGTTAATTTATGTCTATTGAGATAAAAAAAAAGAACGTAATTATTTAATCTCAATATACCGGAATACACAAACTTTCTATTCCGTCACATAGAGGCGAAGCTGCAGAGCCTTGAACATCGCCGTAAAGTTGCCTGCGTATCGGTATTCAACAGGATATATCACGGAGAGCGTGTGATGGAATTACATGATTTAATTCCGCCATCCCTTTTCCTTAATCGGAGGAATAAACGTAGGTTAGGGTTCCACCCCCATGTTCTAGATATTTCAAGGATTCATACGAAGCGTTTTGTTTCCACAGTTATGTGCGAACGGCTGTGTAGCGGAATTTCCCTTCCTGCAGACTTTTCTCTGAACGCTATACTTGGGCATTTTTGGTGTACGTTCTGCATCGTCGACGTCATCGTTACTTTCTATCAGGTGAGACGTAGATTAAATATCTCGAAAAGGTTGTAAAACAATTTGTATGAAAATCGCCAAATCCCGTACGCGTTTTAATGATATTACAAAAAAAATCAACTTCGCCAAAAATCAGCTTCAAGCGCCCTCAGCATACGTTAAGACATATTATTAGTAAATTTTATGAAATAGTTTGAATATTGAATAAGCGGATGTTGCTTGTGGTGTACTATGCACTGGCTGGCTCATTGAGTAGCTATGGTTTAAGTATATTTTGTCGTACTTACAAAACCTATATCCAGGATATTAAAAAAAATCAGTTAAGATACATATAAAACACCAAGAAAAAATATAAAGACGATTATGAAAAATTATTTAAAATATGTAAAATATTGCCAACTGGTAAAAAAGTAAAATTTGTGATAGCCATTGAAAATTATTATAAGAGTGAGGATAAATTATTGATATATAACAGGTATAACACAAAAAGAGTTAGAGAAAGGAAATTAAATAAATGTAAAGTTAATAATAATTATGGAAAAAGAACAGATAAATATGTTACACCAAAAATATACAATAAAATAGACTGGCTCAAAGAAAGTACGAACGTTAGTAAAAAAATGTTGAAAAAGAAATTAAAAAAAATATTGCTAAGTGATGTAATGTTTTTGTAAAAAAATATTATTATTTATAAATAAACAAACATTACATCATCATAAGATTAGAGATAGTATTATTTAGCAAAGACTGTTTTACTTTAGAAAATTAGCTAGTATTTAATGTCACTTAATTAATGAAGAAATAACTAGAATAGATAGATAGAGAGAGATAGACGAGGTAATGTAAAACAGCGTTGTCTTGCCAACAACCTGATGCCCAGGTTGGCAAGGTCTTTAGAATAAGTATAAATTGTATATCTGTGGAGAAATAAATAAAATAAATTAAATACCGTGACAACTGAACTACGGTACGAACCAACAGACCTTAACAATTATTTTATGTACTTGTGGCAGATTTCATCATCAGAGTCTTTGGTTTTAATAATTGAATATCATGGTAGTAAAACATTGTGATATTCAATAAACTGAATATTACACTAAGTTATCTACATATTTATTTTAATTACCTATAGTTACACAAATAAGTGCGGGAAAGATTTAACTTCTCTAACAGTAACTCAAAGTTGACGACTTTGAGCGCTGTCAAAAGGAAAAATACTTGCGCTAATTTTGAGGCAAAAATAGCTGTATAGGTTCACCTATAACACGTAGTGCTCGTATATTGTGTGCCCTAACAACCAATACAAATGTTTGCTTTGTTTGAGTATTGGAATACTTGTGCAACAAATGTTGAAGTGCGAGATACTTCGTTCAAACAACGTTGCTAAACAAAAGTTGTTGGGAATTTCTTAGATTAACGAATTATAGACGTATGTGTTTGTTTTACCTTGCATGCGTATTAGTATATTATGTATACATAATAATATATAACAAATTATGTAAATATATTCATCCAGTGAATTTTGTTTCTAGTAATTTCATTTCTAGATGTTTTTTTAATTTTTTAATGTTTCCAGTAATGTAGAAGAACTAAAAACGAATAGTAAATAAAAAGAACAGTATTTTGCTTCGCGAGATTTTCAATCACAAGCGTCCGAACGTAATAGCACGTGCTTAGTTAGCGTGAACAATAATTAACTTAGAGTTACTCGGAAGGACGGTCCTGGTAGTAGGTAGTAATAAACTAACCGTTACGATGCAATGCGACCTAATCAACTTTCATAACGTGAAACGACGCCGTATAATACAAGATTAATCAAACCTTCTCAAGCTGCACTTGCTTCACTACGTTATGTGATTGCAGCGTACCTATATAACCGTTTGCGATTTTAATCGAATACCTAACGTACTTATATCGCGCTTGTCTAACTGAGAAGTAGATAGAGCCCAGTTATGTCAATTGCTACAAACGTTACTGACACAATACCCGCTTGCATCCTCTGTACACGCTGATCACATAAGTAAATAAAAATGGTAGTAATAGTTACATTGTTGCAGAGGTCGGAGAGTAAATACGAACGAGTATGAGTCATAGGACCTCGCTGCGCTCGACCTTACTTTATCCGAGTCAGGCAACTCACGTTCCTGTCGAGGTATATAAAGTGCTTTTCTCAAACAATGCGAGGAAATAAATACTAAAGAATGAAGGAGAATGTATAGGAAAAATAAAAAACATATGAATAAATATTCCATGAAAAATTTTGTTTCTTGTTTTAAATTAGGCGGAGTTTAAATCAGTTCATTATTCTTATTAGAACTCATTTTAGCGAAGAAAATATAAAAAATACATAAAAAATAAAATTGACAAAAAATAACTTCAAATTACTTTCGCTTATTTTGTCGCCATTTTTTTAAACATGTTATGCAGGTATATTCGTGTACTATAATTATAGTATTCTTCGAACTATTAAGTAATATGCGTCGAATACTCAACAACCCCTGAGGATGCCTCGTAGAGAAGCGAAACACGTGTCGAGTATGTTTTTGGTTGTGGTATCTGTAATAGCGCTTTTTTGTGTCATTTATTAAGTTAATGCGGAGGGAGAGTGGGAAAATTGACTGCATGAAAAAAAAATTAATTTCAAGCGCAGCTCTTTTGCACGAATTAACACTGTGTTCGTGGAGTAGCAAATTAAATTTCTTCCATTTTTATTAACATGGATTTCCGCAAAGTAACACCTGAATCTATTTTAAGTACTTTAATTTTTAGAAAATATTCACACTCAATCTGGTTCAGGTACCTAGAGCAAGCTCGACCTTTTCACATGCCACAATCTGCAAATCTATTGTACGAAACTATTCAAGTGTATCTACAATATTTGAGTGAAGAATACAGCAAAATATTCCATAGGTCTAACCAAGTTAGAGTTAGAACAAGGTGTCAGAGTAATGTTACTATGTTTATTCACTGTATTGGAAAAATCCGTGCTGTATCGCAGTGTAAATTAAAAATATATAACAAGGAAAACGATAATGATAATTGATTAAAGGTTTCCTTGTTATATATTTTCATTTTTAAATTTTTATTTTATTGGACATTTTTATCTATATCAACCTATGCCATCTTTCGAATAATTCTAGAAAACCTTTTTAACAAAAACTCCTGTCTTGACTTATAAAAACATAGCTCTAATGGTAGTTTTCCACCAGCGAAGCGAGACGAGAATAGAAATCTTGCCGGCCTTACCACCAAAAACTGCCATTATAGCTCGCACGAGCCATCACGAGTTCGCGCGAGCCATGGCAATCTCGCGCAAGCTCGCACTGTGACTGGACAGTGAAGACCATGTGATATTCAATTCATGTAGCGATAAATTCGCGGCTCAAGTTGTTACTTCATAAATTATTATTATTAAACATGTTAACGGAAGAAGAATCAGATGAAACCATATTTTTTTAATTGCAAATCGTGCGTACCCCACAATCTCGCGATTGATATTAATAGCCATCGCAAGCTTGCGCGAGACCGTGCGGGCACCCGCGAGATTGCGAGAGCTCGCGCGAGAAATCTTGTATCCGTTGCAAAGTATAATACTCTACGTAGGCAGCGATACGGTTCAATATTACATCAAGAAATATTTCAATTTTCGCCACGCCCATCCTCGCTAATCCAGACCATTTCCACCATAGATGCGTGAGGAAAGAATTGCAATTTTGTCATACAAATTTCAATCCTCGTCTCGCCTCGTCTCGCCCTGCCTCGCCGGTGGAAAACCACCTTTAGGGTCTTTTGATAGTCTTTTCGTTTTCAATGTAGTGTCTATTCAAAGAATTTTGTAAAGACCGAAACAACTGAAAATCTAAAGAGGTTACGTCGGGCGAATAGTGAGGACGAAGGATTACATTCCAACTTATCTACA